GAACTCCATGCAGGTGTATAAAAGCCAAGGACAGGTGATGGTTCTTACCCGCTAGTGATCTCATCGCTTCTCATGTTCTTGCTGAGGACATCGCCATCGCTCATGTACCCCGTGGCATCTACGCTGACGCTCTCCATGTCTAGGTCGTCCCCTTTGTCGGAGTGGTCGCCATGGCCCAGGTTCCCTCTGGTCGCCAGCTGCCTCCTGAGAGGCACGGAGTACATGTAGCGCCCGGGCTCGCAGCTGATATAGCGGCTGGCGCTGGCCCGCTGAGGGTACCCGTTGCCCATAGAGGGGGCGTCGCCTGCCTGCAGACGAGGGCTGGACTGTCCCAATCTCCAAGTCATAGGAGTCGTGCGGGAGGAGAGGCCGAGCACGCTGCGGCCGCTGATTTCAGTGGTGACGTTGCTGTCGAATGTTGTCTCCAACGTGCTGAAGAAAGACACAAATATAATAATTATCAATCTGTAACAATCAATAAGCACACCTGCCCGCTGCTTTCATTCATTGGATTTCTTTCACTCATGGGGGCTCAGCATCCCAAGTGGGTGCTACCTAGGGCAGGCAGGAAGCTATGTATAGCCCCTCCCACCGGCCATGATCTGCCTGCATGGCATAGAGAACCATATAGACTCACTGGGACTAAAATAAGGTATGTTGATAAGGTGGGGGAAGGGAGAATGAATCAAGGAAGCCAAAACGTAAGCAGAATAAACTTCAGCTTGAACTGCAAAAAAAGCGAAAGACCTCAATGATTAAGCCCAGCTGGTGAAACGCGTCAGTGGCGTTGGAGTGGGAGAGATACTATGGTGGTGTACACCTCGTATTTTGAACTTTGCATGGAATTTACAACAATAAAGTTGTATTTTTATGGACCTCGGTTTCGTGGAGCTGATTGGAGAGATATTGTTCAGCTTGAACTGCAACACATACATATTTTGCCGCCTGTGTCCCCCTAGAGACATTTCCTTTCACTTCCTATACAAAAGATGCAACAGGAAGTGAGAAGAAATCTCAACAAAGAGAAGGAAGGTCTCCTCTTAGTTGTCCCCATAGTATGAAGGGGTAATCAGGGTCAGAGGGTACCTGTGCGTGATCTGGGTTCCCCTGAGGCTGGACATGGTCTCCTCCAAGTTCTGTCGAAGGTCGGCAATGTTTTTCACAGTCCTTAATCTCCGAGTTTCAGGATCTTCCCCTGAAAGTACAATAGAGGATATACATCACCCATCATCACACATCATCACCCATCACACATCACCCATCACCCACCATCACCCACCATCACACATCACCCATCATCACACATCACCCACCATCACACATCACACATCACCCACCATCACACATCACCCACCATCACACATCACCCACCATCACCCATCATCCACCATCACACATCACTCACCATCACACATCATCACACCTCACCCATCACCCATCATCACACATCACCCACCATCACCCACCATCACCCATCACACATCACCCACCATCACCCATCACACATCACCCACCATCACACATCATCACCCATCATCACACATCACCCATCACCCATCATCACCCACCATCACCCATCACCCATCATCACCCACCATCACCCACCATCACCCACCATCACACATCACCCACCATCACACACCATCACACATCACCCACCATCACCCACCATCACCCACCATCACCCACCATCACACATCACCCACCATCACCCACCATCACACATCACCCA